CTTGTTGGGGAAAATACTTCTGTGTATGTTTATAAATAAAGTACTTGTTTGGCCAATGAGACAGCAGGATAGGCTGGACTAGGAGTCAAAGAGGATTCTGGGAAATGTAGTAGAGAAGTGGTGTTCCAGACAGGAAGTGACATAGCAAGGAGACTCATATTTAAGAGGAAAAGGGAAGTGTCGCTCTCTTTCCCCTCGGCTCCTGCTCCAGCGGCACGATGTGATCCACCAGCTAGGAGGGACGCCAATAAGGCGTCAAATAAGGTAAGTCTTATAAAATATATTGATGTATGAGAATTGATACTGAGCTAACAGATGAGAATCCTAGTCATTGGCCAAGCAGCATTGTAACTAATACAAGTCTCTCTGTGTATTCATTTGGGCCTAACTTGGGCAGGCGGCTGCCATAAAGCTTACACGTGGTGGTGGGGCTCAGTGGCTTTTGGCAGAAAGATTTATCGTAACATGACCTGACCAAGTGAGAGCACACGGAGCCCAGTTGTAAAGCTGGGAACCATCATTGGACCGAACCAAGACTTCTGAATATGGGTGCCAGTTAGGAGGTCTGGGTAGTCTATGGTACCTCTGACGTGGAACCAATATTTATCTATAGGGCATAAATGAACTTTGGAAGTCCATTCTCCATGGAGGGCCACTTTCTCAGCCCAGATACATCGAGAAGGGCCTAGGCCCTTCCCCAAATGATGTGACAAACTTTGATGATTCCCTGGTGGAAGGCCTCACCCTCCCTGGGGAGTGGATGGGGTGGGATGGTGATTTGGTGGGGAGCCTGGGAGGATGGGAAGGAGAGGGAACTGGGATTGATGTATAAAATAAGATTGTTTCTAAATTAAATAAATAAATACACAGGGTTATTTCAATTGTTCTGAATTTGTTGTCATTTGCTTTATGTCCCAGGATATGATCTATTTTAGAGAAGCATCCATCTACTTTTGAATAGAATACATATTGTTTGGTGTTTTGGTGGAATACTCCTTTGGTATCTATTTGGTATATTTTAATTATGATGCCACTTAATTCTGATGGTCTCAGTTGAATTTTTGTCCAGATGACCTCTGTATTGGAGAAAACTGGGTAGTAAAATCACCCACTCTTACAGAGTTAAAGTTTAGGTATGTATTTAAGATCAAGGTATAACGTTTTTATAAAATTGGATTTGTGAATGCTTGGCACATATATGTTCAGAATTATGATGTCTTTTGATAAATATGTCCCTTGTTCTGAATAACTGTTATGATTCAAATATTCTAAATGATTTTACTTTAAAGTATATTTAAAGTAAATATATATATACATACATATATATATGTATATATATATAGTTGGTTGCCCTGAAAAAATATAATAAACCAGAATTCAAATGTGATTTTAAGTCCAGTTTTTAAAATCCTTGTTTAAAGTAATAACTTCATACATAAATGCTATCGATAAACACTTGATACCGGCATATAAAATAAACTCATGTTTGAAAGACAAATTTAAATAATCTCTAAAAATGAACATTTAGTCTGTATAATGTTACTTATATGAATCTTCTCACAGCTGATCACATGACACTGGGCAATCAATAGATGCTCTCTCCCTGGGCAAGACTCCTGTGCTGGATATTTTTATGTCAACTTGACATAAACTAAAGTAATTTTTCTGATGAGGGAAACTAAATTAATAAAATACCGCTATAAGATCTGACTGTACTCAAACCTGCAGGGCACATTCTTAATCATTGATTAATGGGGAAGTGCCAGCCCATTGTAGGTTATACTATCCCTGGGTAGAGGTTCCTAGGTTCCTATAAGAGGTCCTATAAGAAAGCTGACTGAGCTTGCCATGTTAAATAAGCCAGTAAGCAACACCTCTTCATTGTCTCCATATCAGTTTCTACCTCTAGGTTCCTATCCTATTTGAATTCCTGCTATGACTTACTTAGATGATGCACAGTAATATGGAAGTACAGGCCAAATAAATCCTTTAGTGTATCATTACAAGAAAAGGACAATGTCCCGCGCCCGCTCTCTGTATTTCTCGCCAGCAAGAAATCATACGCAGGACACTCGGATCCTTCTGCAGGAAAACTTTAATGCATCTTGAGAGTGAAAGAGCATAAGCTTCCCAGAGCGGAGACACTGAACCAAGAAAACCCATCCCTAATAAAGGCTGGCAACCGCCGCCTCGGACGTGTCACCCTATGATTGGCTGCAGCTCATCAGGCCATATGACGCCACGGAATAGGCAGAGATCAAGGAATGGAAATTTACCCAGCGCCTGCGCAATAATCTTGTTTACATTCGGTGCCTGCCGGATGCAGGCGCCATCTTGTAATGGAGAATGCAGGGACGGCTCCCTACAGATCCCCCTTTTTTTATTAATTAATGATAAGGCTTTATATTTTTACAAGCAAATAGGTCACCCATATGTTGAGGGATAGAGGCAGAGGTTGAACCTTCCCAAAATCAAACATTAAGACTGTGTACGGGAGTCGCAACTA